GACACCTGCCTTTACACACACACACTTTGACTTTTAAATGTTTGCTTGGAGTTTTAAAGAACATCTGTAATGAGATGTAGACAGCTATTGCTTACCTCTCCTACTAAAAATGCAACAGGTTCTGACATTACTCTGACTTTCTAATCTGCATGCTTGATCTGAGCCAGTGACCAGTATTACAGCAAAAGATAGCCAGGCAACTAGCATTTTCAGTAGGTCAGCGATGGCAGGCTGATGGCAGACTGAGCATGTTCAGCCGACCCGAAGCCACCCGATGTATGGCTGATTTCAGCCAATATACGGCTGAAATCAGCCGTACCAGCCTGAAGTGAATAGCAGAACAGTGTCCGGCTCACTTCGCTTTAGGTCAGTCATTCACTCGAATAGACCCCATAGTTTTTAACAAAACCCTATTAGTTCAAATTTCCTTCGCCTGCCACATTTTAAAAGATATCAATGCAATACAATCCATGAATAGAAGTTACGTTTATCAGACGAATAAAAGATTAATGAACACAGAGCATTATCTGACGTTTTCAGTTAATATCCTACCTGAAGAAATATCAATGCGGTTTTTCTTGGACTTTGTCATATTGATATGGACGCTGACTTTTCCATCTGTTAAGTCTATTTCCACACTTCCAATGTCATCGGCAAATGTGGTGAAGAGAAGAAGTCCATTCAAATTCCAGGTGCGAAAGTAAAAGTTCACTGAAAAAACGTCCTCAGCTGCCCGTCCAAGCACTTCCAGGTAACTAGTTGCATTAAAGAAGACAGGGACTGCATGTGATTCGACACAGGTAAAACTTAAGTTATCCTGTAACAAAGAAAGAAGAAAGCTTGAAAGACTTTATTAATATTACAAAGAGGGTTTGAAGATGATAAAGTGGAATAAGATGAATCAGGAACTATGTAATCATTGAAATAAATGGGTCAACAATTTATTTTGAAAAGAGCTTGTCTGTTTGTATAACTACTTTTGTATGTCTATTTATTAGCTTCCTGTAATCCCAGCAGAACCAGAACTATGAGGCAAGGATGTTCTATTGCTGTGCACAATGCTGTCAGTTTAACACTGTGAGCATGCTTACTGTACATGAGAGGAGAATACAGGAATGACAATTTTTTTGTCTTTCTTCGGTTGTAACATTCTTAAACATATACAAAGCAAAAAAAATGCCTAATGTATGTCCACGGACCAAAAAAAGCAATATCACAAATATATACATAATTATTTTAAGAGATTTTGAGCACAGAAGTATCCCCACAAAGTATTGTTTATTTATGCACAGAATATAAACCACGATGGTCAGGTAAAACATATCAGACTGCTTCCTGCCTGAAACTGGAGACCTGCACATTAAAATCAATCTATCATATAACCTAGAAAACCTTGTCGTGTTGGTATATAGTTTATGATAGATAAAAATCGCTCATAAAATCCAAAATACTAAATGCCCAGTTTAAAGAAGGGAGTATAAACAAATTAATATTTTCTTGAGGGTGGAAGACAAAATTTCCATTCACATTACCCCTTGAGGGATTATTCAAAAGGATCATACATTTCTTCCTGTATAGACAACAAAATACTCCACTACATTGCAACACATGTCAGATTGTGAATCAGTATATAGCTTCAAAGGGCAATCTCCAAATATAGGTTGGTTTTAGCTATGTAATGGATTTTGGTCCGTATAAATCCATTAAACAAGTATTATGGTTTGTGTATGCTGTTGCATTGTCTAATAAGCAAGTGGAGCAGAACTTCAGCAGCCACCCTTTTTTCCTTTAGCCACCCCTCAAGTGTCTAAATATAATTACCATGCTTGCAAGGAAGATAAGGCATTGAACTGCGTACATGGAAAATATCTGCGGTGATTAAAAAAAAGTAGAGCACGTATGTGGGGTATAACAAAATTAGATTATGATTATCATTTTTGCCTAGAGTATCATGCTTTAATTTAATGTAAATAATAAAGGTGCTGTAGAATGTTAGTTTATGCTATTATTCTATATTACCTACAAATGTATCTTTCAGTTATCATTGTCTCTGGAATATCAATGTGATGTGATTAAGGAAATAAAACAGAAAATCTAGGGATAGTCCAGGTTTTGCAAGCTTTACTTGGTCTAGTAGAAGACACACATGCAAGCGATGTACAGTCTACCATGGTTTGTTGCTAGCAAGGCTCAATATAAATTCATTATTCTTTCTGTTTCTATTTTTTCTCTCCTGTTTTCCATGGAAACATCCAGAGAATTTGCTAAAAGGCAGACAGCGACATACATACTGATTGTCTTGTATGGAACAGCATGACATTGTAGGAAGAATCACTATACTGCCTGGGAGGTGCAGTTCAGCAATAGTCATGTCAGAACATGTGCAATGCACTGTACACATGCATGCCATTCATGGTATCTGATGCCAGGGAGGATGTGACTTCTGTGTGCATACGCAGGAGTTACATCATCAGCTAATCAGAGCAGAGGGCCAAAAATAAATTTGTAAAATCAACTTGTAAGGTACTGCAACTATGCCCTAATGTAAAAGTATGCAGTGCATACTATGCCCTAATGTGCAAGTATGCAGCGCATACTTGCATATTAGGGGAAGATCACCTTTTTCTCAGCCTTTTGCTTCTGCTTTAATTTTGCCAATAGAGACATGTTTTGGTGTCAATTAAGAAGAGAATTCCCCCAACCTTGGGTACATTTCATTTAATTTCCTGTTGGGTCTTAGGCCTCATGCACACTAGCAGGCTGTGTTTAAGCCCAACAGAAGTTATCTGGTAAGTATAAAAAACTTTGTGCTTACCAGATCACTTTTTTTCTGTGCTGGGCTTAGATGCACTTATACGCCTTTACATGCGTTTACTAGCATTTACATCCATTTAGCCGCATAAAACTAGGCGAGTCGGACCCAGAATGCAGGCATTTCGATTTTGGGTTAACTGACCTAGATTGAAGGCACCTAGATGCTGCTGGACGCCTAGGTATGCATTCAGTCATAGAAAAGCTTTACGTGAGTCCAGTGCATTTAAAAATGAGCTCCAAATGCACCTGAACTCAGTGTTTTGGTACGTAGTGTGCATAAGGTCTTAAAGACAGGCATGACACACACAGAAAAAAAAAAATAACCTGATAGGGATTCTATACCTTTCCCACTATAACGGAAACAAACAAAAATAATAATTAAGTTTTGGCTATTCATACATTTTAAATATAGCTATATCTTACACTGCACTGGATACGTAGCCCTATGCATATAAAATTAATGCAGCTCTGGAAGCAATGGTGAACACCTTCCTGAAATAAATTCCTTTAGTAATAAAATATAATACATGTACACTACTTGATTTTATAGAACAGTTATTGAACACATATTAAAACATGTTTCATGATCCTAGCTGGAAATGCGGACTTAAAAAAATTGTACTGCATATCACAATTTTGCCTATATTTATTTTACGTAAACAGCACTGTAAGAAAATAATCCATGATGTATTCAGGCAGTGTCTAAAGATCGTTTGTTCTACTAGAAAGACATCTTTCTAAATAAACAATGGATTGTCCATTATGCTGTATGCACTCAGGGCAAGGACATTTACATCCCAACTCACCACATTGTATGAGTTCATCTTCCTTCTCCTGGCAAGGTCAGTGATGTTAAGTGCATTGTATTTAATGCTTTCCATACAACCCTTGAAATTTTTGACACCGTTGGAGCTTGGCTTTCCACTTGAAGGCATACCTCCGAAGGTTAACTGTTACAAAATATCAAATATGATAAGTCATATTCAAAATTTTTTCCTCCACATTAAAGTAACTTCTTTAGTTGTATATTATTGTTATAAATTTTAATGTAAATACATAATGCAGGTGGTTTATAAGATAATTTATGGATTTCCCAAACGCGGAAAAGCTTTTGCCCATAGTAACCAACCAGATCCTGTGTTTCAGTTCCCTAGAACAGACTTAGAGAATAAACTATGAAACCTAATTAAATACTATGAATAAAAGCTGAATTTCAGTTTGTTGCAATCTCAACAATGAACTCTAAATTGTTATTTGACAACGGATGGAAAAATATTAATTAGGAAATAATCACATGCATCATAATGTCAGTTACAGTTACTATACTATAATTTTTTAGTAAAAACAATTAAACTAATGTAATGGCTAAGTAATACCTACAGTACATAAAGCTTGTTATACATGTTACAATCTGATTATATAATTCCTGTACCATGTATTTTAAGTTGACCACAATCCTAACATTCTGATTATACAATCTCTTTACAATCTTCTTTAGATTCACCAGTATTGTAAGGACCTACTAAAACAATCCATTCAATCAATCAGTAGTACAAAGTATTTTTTAGATCTAAACGAGATCATATAATCAAAAGAAGATTGTATAGTCAGGATGTACTCACTTGTGTAACAAACTTCAGAACAGTTAAGCACTGTAAAAGCCCTACACCAGGGATAGCCAAACTCCGGCCCTCCAGCTGTGGTGAAACTACAAATCACATAATGCATCATTCTCCGGGAGTCATGTCTGTGGCTGTGAGAATCTTGCAATGCCTCATGGGATGTGTAGTTCCACCACAGCTGGAGGGCCGGAGTTTGGCTACCCCTGCCCTACACTATCTAAACAATCCATTTAATTGACATCCAATTAGGTAAGCCCTCACACTATATAATGGTTGGTAACTACTGTATAATAGATATTGAGCAAACAGATTGTAGCATGTGTGGACAGTTTAAAGTGAAACAGAAGTTATGATACATATCTTCCAAAAGGCCTTCCATTTTCCTTCCTAACACATAGAGCCCTTTTTACAGGATGCGTGCATTTCAAAATAAAGTGCACTTTTTCTTTTTTGTCCTCCACCCCTGACTGAAACAATGTTATCCTACCCATCTGCAGATTTTATACCTACCATTATTAGATAGGTGCAGTTTCTTTTTTGTTCACAACCAGCGCCGCACTGCTCCCTCTGATGGCCACAACTGCACATTAAACTCACATATATGTATGTGAGGTTGTTTCACAGCATGGAGACAGACATGGCCAAGAGAGAGACAATAGTCAACAAACAGCGGAGCAGCATTCCTTGGATCTAAGTAAATATAGATCTGCAGAGGGCAAGGGTGGGATTGTTCAGGTCAGGGGAAGAAGGAAAAAAGTGCACTTTGTCTAAAAGGTTAAAATAGAGAGCTTATACCACTATCTACAGGGCACCACAGTGTTTACTACATACCACACCTGCATTTTACTAGTCATTAATTAATTGCAGGCCATGGTCTGCAGTACCCTACAGTGTGTTCTCTTCATAATGCTGCAGAACACTCTGTGATAGCAGGAGAGTCCTGTCACCTGCTTTTGAGAGGTCATGTGACCAGGATCACCTCCTCCTGGCAATTATTTCCTGAATTTTGCTTGCTTGGGCATTCCAAAACAAGAGAAGAGGAGGACACATTTAAGAAGAACAATGTTGTACTTTATAAATGTAGCTCTGTATTTAAAAAAAAGTTAAGGTATGGCCACAGTAAGGCTATACCACTGTTTCCTTTTATGTTACAGTAAAGTGGGAGAATAAGCCCACAAAGGAGTCAGCAGTTGTCTCTAGCAGGAATATGAGATCAAATGCCACCATGTTGGATTGCTATCATCAGGAAGAATTTCTCATCTGCCTTTGAGATTTCATGGGGACAAATAATTTTTTACGAGCTGAGACTTTCCATATTTTTTTAGGTGGTGATCAGAAGAAAGCATTAAGGAACATATCTGTTTGGTGTGGATGGTAAATGCTTGTTACCTATCTGGTAAGCAGCTGTTTGCTTTTAAGACTGGAAATACGTGACATACATTTAGAAGCACATCATAATTCTTAGATGCTGTGCTCAGATGGCTCTGTACAAAGTTTTAAACAGTTTTTGCTCTGGAAATTCATAGCACTCTGTGAATTCTATGTGAGGGGTATACTGAGTATTAAATGTGTATTCATATATTGTATATACATAGTTAACAAGATGTAAAATACAGTTTTATACAGGGGTACAGGTACTCCTAGAATGAGATCCTAATAGGTTGGACTTGATGGACTAATGTCTTTATTCAACCTCAAATACTATGTAACTATGTAACTATGTAATCTTTCTATATAATAAATTAAATATTGAACCTTCAATATAGTTTCTGTATAGCTTCTGTTGTGGTAGATCATGGTAGATCACATGTTTCCTTTCATCTCATTTTAAAAAGTCAACTTTATAACAGGCACTACATATCATCAAATTGTAGACATGTGAAGGCTCAAAAGAATGTATTTTGTTTAGTTTTGGATCGATTCAAATTTTTTTTCCAGATTTTTGTTCCAAAATTTGATTAGGTTTGATATTTGAAATTCGGATCGATTAGAATATTTCATTTTTGGTTTGGAACAATCTGTTTTTTTTTTTGTTTTTTTCTGTTCGGATCGATCCAAATATTTCATTTTCAATTCGGATCGGTTCAAATCTATTTGGGTGGAGTTTATTGTTGTTAAACGTAAAAAAAATAGCATGGGGTCCCCCCCAAAAGATCCCTTACCAAATCCTTGATCCGAGCAGCAGCCTGGCAGAGAAGGGGAGGGGAGATTGTGCGCACCCTCCTCCTGCACCATACCAGGCCACTTGCCCTCAACATAGGGCAGGGTCCCCATATTAATGAGGACAAGGGCCTCTTCCATGCAACCCTGGACTAGTGGTTGTAGGGGTCTGAAAGCAGGGGGGCTTATTTGAATCTGGGTGCCCCTTTCATAAAGGGGCACCCAGATGCCGCCCCCCTCATGAATGAGTAAGGGGTAGTTGCTACCCCTACTCATTCACCAAATAAACAGGGGATTGTCGCTGCCCCTGTCATGCTTTGTCAGGCTCCTGCCTCAAGGTTCTGGTAAGGGATTTTGGGGGAGACCCCACACTTTTTGTTTGCCATGGGTCCCCCCTAAAATTCCTAATAGACCTAAAGGGTCTGGTATTAATTTGGGGGACCTCATACTGTTTTTCTTTTTTTACATTTTCATGTTTAACAGCACATCAGTATATTCAAAATGGCATTTGGACAAAATTGGGATGCATCCAAATTGTTGTTATCATAAAATTTAGATAAGTTAAAATTAGTTATTTTGTCAATTCAGAAATTTGGATGCATCGAAAATGTCAGATACATTCGAATTTGGAAATTCTAATGTATCCCAAATTCAAATAAATTTGAATTCGGAGAGTCAGATGCATCCCAATGACCGAATATAATGACATTCCTCCCAATTCAGAAGGAAATTAAACTCACATTAATGGGGTTAATTAAATGGGGTTCCCTACTGGTATTGAACATAGAAAGACCTTTTGAAAAAATAATCTGACTAACTTTTTTTGTTGCTTTATGTTTACAATTGCACATAAGTTTTCTTACCTCAAAATCCAGATCTAATTTAACAAATTCTCCATTTGTTTTAAAGTGTTGCACATGATTATCAAGTGTCAGGTTAATGTGCTTTTTATAGCGATCAATTATAACAGAATGCCAATGATGATCATCTAGAAGGCTTCCTGTGGTTACTATGGTGTTGCCATTAATATTTCCGTATTGGTTACTGCCTAAAATGGAAGGAAAATAGAACTTAAATTATCAAACAAAATGCAATTTGTTAAAATAGAACTCAAGTCAAACAACTAAATACCCCTGTGCTATACATACATGTGAGCCATAAAGGAACCATCATAACCCCCACATTTTTTCTTTATCTCCCCTTTTTTTCAATCAAAAAGCTTTATTCCACAATACACAATGCATCACACATTTCACATAATGTCACCTGCCAGACCCTGCTCTTCTCAGAGATGAAGGGTACTTGAACAATCACAATTGGAACCACTGACCTACATGCCTTTTAAATACTGATTTTTTTAAGCAATGTGACCTTTAAGCTGCATCCACACCAGGTGCATTGCCTTTAGTGCACTTAGATAACCATTAAATGCACTTGAGTTGATGTGCATTTTTTGTTACAGCAGTATCCAAGACACTTTATTTTGTATCACCTTAATGTTTATTTGCACTGTGTTTGATTGTAACATGTATTATTTTTACCCAATGTGAACTGGGCCCATTGAAAGCAATGTATGTTTGCTTGCAATGAAAGCAATGTATGTTTGCTTGTTATTGCGATTCTGCCTAACACAGCTCAATGCACGCGCTGTGAATTGATGACATGGCTGAAAGCTGCTATGAGTCTATTGCTCCTTTTAAACAAATAAGTATACAAAGCTGTGTTGGATTGCAGAACTCCCAAGCTCATGCCAGCTAAAACTGCAATTAAAATTTACATGCCTTAAATTCCCAGCCGTTAAGATCCAGCATTTATAGAACATCCCACACAGACAACAGAAGACTGTTTTTATACTAATTATTTACCATGTTTCTTTTTAGTGTAAGTCTTGCAGGAAAAAGGGGGTAAATAACATTTCAATATTTGATGATTATATTAAAGTTGATGTTAAAAACAGTTGGGCTAAAAAGATGAGGCGCCACGTGGGGGATTTTGTGGGGGATTTTGTATTGACTAATTAGGATGCTAATACATGCATTGCTGGAATTCAAACTATTTACTATTTGCCTAAAGTGACCCTCAACACTCACTTGGTTGCTCCTGCTGACTTTCATGTGACTACTGCATCCTGTGATGGGTAGAGGTCAACAGAAGGAACCAGTGAGAGCTGGGGGAACTCAGGAGATTGGCATTCCTGGAAGTGTTGGTTTCCCATTGAACTTCAGAAAAGATTTCTCAAGATCAAAGAAGCATTCCGTGGCACGGGCATCAGGAAATGTGAGTATGTTATGTGTTTTAATCCTTTATCTAGCGCAAACATGATATTTAAATTGCTGTATTACAATAGCATTATTGAAAGGAAAAACTGTACTATGTGTTGCCTAAAATGGCCCTATATTCTTACAAGCTTTTTTATAAAAGCTATCTGCTATTATAATCAAGAACCTTATTTCCACAAATACACTCTATTTTGCTTTGACATAAGACTCTTGAAGTAATTAACAAAACGGTCGTATTCTACATTGCTCAGTGACACAATAACAACTAGCAATTGACATTTGCTTTCCCTATCTTATTTGCAGATAATCAGTAAAAGCTAATTATAAATTGGTTACTATGGGTTACTGAACTTTTGTACATTCTTAGTAAATGGTTACCAGTGAATTCACAGGCTTCATTATATGAGTTCACTGTATACTGAACATCTACTTTTTAAAAAAAATGTATTTCAATAACTGTCAATGTTTAATCTTGAAAGATAATGCCACTTCAATTATCCCAGAATCATAAATAATCAAATCAATGATGACTCACAGTCAGGTTAAAGGTGACATTTTCTTAGGTTGACAAGTGTAGTGAATCTCTAGTAGAACACCACTAATTAGAGGTAATAAAGCAATACATTTGGTAAATATAGTGTGTGTATATATGCTAAATGCAAACATCTCTCTGTAAATATTCTATTGCTTATAATAGCATTAGTTTAAATTTTTTTTCTCTTTGTTATTTACATTGTTTCTCCAGTCAATGCTTTTCTGGATAGAATAAGGGAAGATTAGGGGTGGCCCCTCTGAGGATGTGGCTGTTGTTCTGTCTCCACTGGAGAAATCCATTGCCTCCATTGTAAGATTGTACGGTTGTCACCAGAACGAGGACATAAGGGAAATTCCTCTATGTATAACACCTGTTCCAGTGACAGCTCTTGAAAAGAGGATCTCCCCTTACTTTGTTTATTAAGTAATTAAGATGTCCTGTTGTGACTTTAGACAAAAAAAAAATCATAGGGTTGTAACCCATTCTTACTTTATTTAAATAAAAAATACACTAAAAACATAAGTTCACTTTAGATACTGAGTTCCAACTTGCTTCCCCTAGACTGTGAAAAATAACATTTTGAAGCCCAGCACATTCACTAAGGTAAAGATAAGATTTGTTATCAAGAATAATTGATGTCCTTCTTCCTTTTGCACATGTGTTTTGCACCGGTGGCTGGCGGTACATTTAGGAGAACTGTGGACCCGGTTCGTAAGTACGGATTGTCCGTAAGTCGGACGCCCCTAACCCTGGGACTGCCTGTATCTAACACACGCTATGTGAAAGAGGTGCAAAATGTAACATGTTTCCCAATTTTGTCATTTTGTTTTTCTGTTTTAAAAACAGGCATTGTGTAGTACAGGGAGCATCCATGGGATACTTATAATAACCTTCTGTGTAATAGCTGGGCAGGAAGTCATCTGTCAGCTGGGGATCAGTTCCCTCATTACACCACTTTTTATTATTTATTGTTTCCCATCTGATAAGCTCCTGAATGTTTATGTATGAATGCTTATTAAGGACTGTTTTGTATAAATCAACTTGTAATTTATGTATGGTGGTCTTTTAACATTGAATGACGCCACAAACATAACAGAGATAGGGGAAATGGAAAATTTCCTTTTCTTTTCATTGCCGTCATATATTCAAGTCACACATTTAATGAGTTTCCTATCACCAAGGAAGAGGTGGTCACATACATGAGGAAACAATCTTTGGTTTAAATAGATGTCATGAAAATTAGACAGATAAAGCTTAAAATTGTAGAAATTAAATTAGACAAGATCACAATATGAATGGTAAATTGGAGCAGGCATTCTACTGCCATTAATTTGGCATTGCATGTCTATATACATTTGAGAGTTTACCTTTCAAATAAGCATGACTGTTTGAAATTTTGAAGCATGACTAATTAATTTTTTTAGATGATGTACACAGGCTGAGGTCAGTTAGGACTGTTCATGCATTATAAATATGCAAATGCATCGACAATTTAATTTAATTCACCTGTATCAGGAGACATCTATTTTATGTCCATGACCAGGTTAAGAGTTCCTAAACATGCGGCAGTCCGCTAATGTATAAAATAACTTTTTTCTCTGACTCAGTGTTTGAATTTAAGCAACCAATCATTGATCTTCTCACCTAGTTAGACAGCAACTGAAATGCAAAATTACTCAAAGCCAGCAGAGGATGGTGCATGGCATTAATAGCACATCAGGATAAAAACAGATATCTCTGCTAACGCCTGTAAGCTATAACATTACTATGACTAAGACCAGGATTGGCTGAAATGCATTAGCAGAGATAACATTTTGTGTGAATCCTTAAGGAGTGTCGACATCCCATATATATTAAATGTCTTAATTTGTTACAGTTTTGTAATATATAATTTACTTTAGGAGTGGCCATTTTAAATAGTTATTACCAATGTTGAGGAAGCACTGCCCAGAGCTCCTATTTTCTGTAGCCTTATGATAAATAGGAAACCTATCTTCATAAATTAAGAACTGATCTGGACAGGGTTGACTTCCAATGGCCGGCCAATCTTCTGGACCACTTTTATTATTTTTTTCCTATATTATGTGTTTTTCAAATGAAAGTGAAAATTATATTTATAGGGAATTATATGCCCCCTCAAATGCCTGACACACTAGGAATATAGATTGATTTTTTTTATTACGCAAGAAGGACACCAACATGCAAGTCCTCAGCTGTAATGCGTGTCTGCCTTCAACATCCATAGGTGCTTTAAAGGGGAGCCTAAAAATTGGTTAACCTCTCAAAAACCCCTGCCATTGATGAATGGGAGTGCGATTATTGTACCTCACAGGACTAGCGAATGTGGCAAAGGGATGTTTAGGTATGGGAATAGATTGCTACCCCCTGCTGTAGTGAACTGGTAAAGGGACCCTTCAGTGTCTTGTTTACCATGACACAAGCAGTAAAAATGAAGGCACATATACCCTCTACAAATTTTAAATGAATCTTAAAAAAAGGGTAATGAAGCAGTCTTTAAGTAACTACAAGGGGCACACAGGGTCCCCACTAATCATTCTAGCTATGTGGGAACCTTATTAGTCCCAGCATTGTTTTCAAATGGCACATGGTTTACGTGGCTGCAGTGTGCTCTGGTGTTGGTGTTGACTTCACCGGCTGCCAGTTACAGCTGTGGTTCAGTGCTAAGGCCCAGGGGCCATGTTACAGTGATGCTATCATACTACTTTCTGTCCACATATTCAACTTGCACTTACCCTAATATTACATTACAATGCTTATAAGGGAAAAAAGCTCTTCTAAACTGATAGGTTAAGTTGACTTTGAGCTTTGTCACTCATCAATAGAAAATCAAACCTATGGAATTATTTTACTTAGACAACTTATTTTATATTAGATTTCAGTTATTATATTATTATTATTATTATTAATAATAATAATATTATTATTATTGTCAATTATATTTTGGAGCAGATATCTGAAACTGCTGTATCTGTAGTACATGAAACTTAAGTTAGAAAAATAAAAGCAAAATGTATTTTCTTTTCTCTTCATTAGTGACAGTTATTCTTGAAATACAGTAATTTGGTTATATTGCCATCTCAAGGAAATTTTATGGATGCATTTTGCTTTGCTGAGGAACACACTTTCTATGTTTTTCTTTTTTTCTTTTATTAACTTTATCAGTTTTTTTTCTCTACTGTCAAGACATTTCTTGTGCTGTTTTGAGATGGTCTCTACACAGCAGCTGTCTGAATCAGTTTATCTTTGGTGATGCCTTAGAGGCCATACCCAGACCCCACTGGTCTGAAGACTGAAGGGCCATTCCAGAATGTGAGCTTTCCTTCACAGGACTCCGTTTGTGGTGCATTACAGATCAGGAAACTCTCCTGGTCTAAAGCCATGGCAGAGTCCCTGGTGTGAACTAGACATGTGCGATTCGTTTCGTTCCGAATCGAAATTCGTGCGAATTTTCGGAAATTCGGACAATCGGATGTATACGAATTCTGAATTACATATATAATGAATGCAAACGAATCCGAATTTCCGTTTCCGAAATTCGGTAGCGGTAGTTCGTTCGGACGTTCGTTTAGTTTTCGTTTCTTATTCGTTTCGTTCGCTGAAGAAAAAAAATTTCCCCCCCAAATGGCACTTTGCTGCAAACGAACGAACGAATGAATGAAACGAATACGAAACGAACGTGCGAACGAATTACCGCTAACGAATTTCGTCCGAATCTGAATTCCGAATCCGAATTGGCTTTCACACCCGAATCCCAAAAAACGAAATAACACAAATCCGAATTTAAAACGAAACGAAACTAAACAAATTTTTTGGCAGTGCACATGTCTAGTGTGAACCAGTCTCTGAATTTGCACTCTGTGCATTCCAGACCTGAGTCAGTTGGCTGCAGGGCATTTAGAGTAGTGGCACATTCTCATGTGTAATCCAGTCTCTATTGACTTCTTCTGTAAATGTCTTTGAAAATGGCTAGGGTAGCCTAATATGTGGAATTTGTGCACTGAATTTTGCATTGTGCAGCTACCAGTCTTGTGTACAATGTGTCAGTTAGCCACAGAGTGTTTTCCAGTTTCAGAGTAGTAGTTGAGTCTCTGGTGAAGCCAAGTCACTGGTATCTTCCAGGGTATTTAGAGCTTGAGATGTGGCGATAAGATCCTGCTATATGTTTTTTAAAGTGCAACTGCACTTTTCTTGAAAAAAAATAAATAATCCCCTCTGGATGATCAATGTATATTGCAAAGATTTATTTAACCATGTCCTTCCCAAACTGATTGCTGAATGGGTTGGTCTGTTTTATTAACAACTCCTGATGCACTTTCAATATTGCAATGAGGAAAGTTGCAGAGTCTCCATCCCTTTAAACTTGTAGGAAATATCTAGCCAAAAATGTTGTTTCTATTGCAGAGGATTCCTTAATTGTTACTTGTATCTTAGTGCAGACTTCTAGGAAAACCTGTTCACCAATCACACAAGCAGGAAATTACATATTTGGCATCCCATAAACCAACAGTGTACAAAAACCTCTAGATTGTCATATTGCATTGAATTTTTTGAACAGCTCTAGAAAATTACAGCGGCTTTAGATAGAGATAAAAAGGTAATTTTTAATAACATCAAATTACAAAATAGCTTGTGTAGCAATTTTATACGCTATATTAATTTAACAAAAGTGGAGTTTTCCACCTGTGTTCTACATTATGGTTCTTACCCACTTGTGTAATAACCTAGTTTATCACTGAGTGCTCTCCAGAAACATAGAAGAGTAATGCAGAAAATGACCAAGTGGTTCATTAAGTCTTCTCTTTTTGATTTTCTTTTACCTTTTCATCCTTGTGTAGATTTATGTTTGTCCCGAGCATGTTTAATTTCACTTACTGTTGACTGACTTACTACCTTTGCTGAATGTCTGTACCAACTACTCTTGGTAAAATAATAATTTTTAGGGTTAGTTTTTAACATTTCTCTTGCTAGTTTGAGGTCATGCTTCTGTGTTCTTTGTCATATCTTCATATTGAAAATACTCTTCTCTCCTACGTTTTATCCCTCAGACCATTGACCATTTGAGTAGCCTCTGGACTCCGTATATCTTATTCATATATATGTGAGGTCTCCAAAAGTGAACACTGTATTCTAAATGAGGTCTTACTAAAGATCTATATAAGGGTTTCATGACCTCTATCCTCCTAGTGATCCCCCTAATGATGCACCCCAACATTATTTTTGATTTTCCAATTGCCAGACCATGCTTTTTGCTCATTTTGCAATCGTAAATAAGCATCTCCAAATCTTTTTCCTCTGTTGTTCTGCCCAACACTGTACCCTTAATATCCTTAAAAGATGTAGCTCACCCACCAAACCTTCATTTATAACAGATTTACATATTAAATAGAACAAGACCTAGTGCAAAGCCTTTTGGTACATAACTAGTGGCTAATGGGCAACTGCCCCAAATTCTGTCTGCTCCAGTTTTGATAAAGACCCCCATTGTGATTTTGAGGGACAGATTCACCTTTTACCTTAAAAATATGTATTGTGTATTTACCTAAGTTTAATTTCAACACCAGCTTTGATTTCACCAGTTCCAAAGTGATATAGTCTCCTTGCTGTCCTTCCCCATGAAAGAGAACACCTTCACTTGAAGTACTTTTGAATTTGAGGGAGATGACGTCCTTTTCCGTTGCCATTTTTCTGTCTTTGAATTGATAGGATAACACGGTATTGCCATCAAAATTGATTACATCCGCCCCTAAAGAAACATAAAAATATACAAAATTTATGATGAAACACATACATATAAATACATTGTTTTAAAATAACAAATGCCTAGAACAAGTTTTGCATTTCTTGTACCTTTATTTAAGGCCCAATGTGTGTGTTTGAATGTTATCTCCTCTTCACTATGTCCCTGGGCACCCCAAAACTCAGGACACTAAAATTATGCAAATAGCAACTTTAGCTGCAAAGTCTCACTTTGGCCCTTCCCCTCTGAGGTTGCCCAGCTCCATACTGGTCATTGCGCTTTGGAAAATTAAAAGTCACAGGAGCCTTAAAAGGTTATTAAACCATAAGTGTGTTTTTGCATATATTTACTTCTACTAGCAAACTGTAGATATATGCAAAAACTTTAAAACAAAAACCTTTTCAAACAGATTTAAACTTACCTCTGCCTTCACCGCACGCTCCCGCCCGAACATCTGAAGAGTCTTGAGTGGCCGCAAAGCATCTTGGGGCGGGCGCATGCGCAGTTCAGATGTTTGGCTGGGAGACGAGGAGCGACACAGGGTAAGTCTATGTAGCAGCGTGCACTTGCACAGACTTCGTGGGACATCAGAGGAGAGGAGGACAGAGGAGTCAGCTCTGGATCGCAGACCTGCACCAGCGCTGGAGGGACATCTGAAAACTACACTAAAGAAGAAGATGATCGGATTAAGAGGCATGATTTAAGTTAAGTACTTACACTAACATTGGGGGAGAGAAAAAAAAAATGTCACTTTAAGGGTATGTGATGGCATTTTTAGCTTAGAAGTGGATACTGGCATGCTCAATTACTACTGACAACCTACTGACTGACTTCAGAGTATTTGAACCCAAGGCCCCATGCCTATTCATCTTCTGAGGTAATTACATGGGGGTCTCATGTTCTATGTTGGATTTTTTTCAAGTATTTTACATGTGTTTTATATCGCAAAGAATGCATCAGAAAGGGTAAACCACTTCATTTGATCATATGAGCCAGAGACAAGAGATGATGGAAAATCCATTCACTGGGGTTCCCAGAACAGTTAAATAGCTAATGGGTAATTCAATCCTCTAGCATACATCACTTCCTGAATTACCAGTGGGGACCACTCTTTACTAAGGCACTTGCAACCTTAGTGCAGATGTTGTGCAAGATGTTTTTCATGTAGGTTTTTGGCATTTACCTACTTTAAGGATCATAGATTCTTAAAACAAAACATAATGCATGCATACTATGCAGATTCAATAACAGAACCGTGATCTTGTTGAACCTGGGACATGGAGCTAAATTACATAGGAGGTTCATTTTATGGTAATCATTAATTCCCCATGAAGTTGCATCATCTTTCCTTTCTATTTATGATTAGAATAGTAATCAACACTGCACATAAACACAAAGTACACAGCTAGTACATATATACTTGATATTCTCATTAGGGACATCTTACTAACTGGAATAAAATCTGTACACACCATATGAAATGTTATGCACCATTGCTCCTATTTATTTGCATTCCGAACTAAGCAGGTTGGGGCACATGCATTTGTAGTGTATCAACATAACACTAAAAATACACTTTATACATATAATGACCATAACACTGGTACTTAGAAGGCACAAACGGTATATAACAAGTAACATAGATACAACAACATATGATACTGTGAATACTGGATTGCAGAAGAGGGCTGAAAAAGTGAAAGTGTGTTAAACAGTTAAAAGATCAGATTAAATTATATGCATCTGCAACAAAACCCCAACGAAGCTCAAACCCAGAGTGTAAACATGAAAAAAGCCTTACATTAACCATGTATTACAAGCGACTCATAAAGCATTAAAACAGTCATACAAGCATAGATATAATTATTATAAGTTACATGTGCAAGTGCAATCAAAGTGTTGTTAAACCCTCTTACTTATAGCATTTGCTGATCTTTTTGTGTAAATTTTCTAGTGGTATGCTCCCTTAAAATTTCCTGCACCTAATTCATTAGCACCTTGAAACAGTTTCAACAACTGTGCCAGGTTTAGGTTGTCCAATTTGTGCCACTTTCACAATGTGTCACCATGGCTACAACAAATTCAGTAAGAATTGCCACCAGTTCAACAAAACTTAAGGTAACTAAAACCAACTCTAAGTTAACATACAGAGACAGGTATGCAAAATTACCCTGCATTGGGGCTGCTGCGAATTAATGTGATAGCTTCTCGTTCAGGCTTCATAGGTTGCTAGGAAACTGGTGACTACGGAATCTATCCACTAGCATCCATTAACAATCGTATGGTAGGTGGACCTTATGGGAAACTAGTCTCTCTGAATCAGCATCAGGCTAAACACATAGCATTTTGTTCAGTGAAAGGTGAATGTCTCTTTAAAGCAGTGCCCACTTTCGAGCACCTAGTTGTAAGGAGGACAGGCTCACCTGGTAGTGGCAGCAATAAACCATGCACAAAACATCCAAGCATATCTGTTCTGCACATTTATTTAGAAAGGCAGCAAACAAATACAGTTTCAGTGAAGGAGGGTTTTTTACAGCAAATACGTTGCATAAACAACAAGTCGGCAGTCAGTCTTTTCCCCCAACAACAGGCTCTCAAAGCAAAGAGGGTGAGAGAGAGCATCAGTCAGCTTACATATAAAAGGCCTGTGCTAAACCAAGACTAAGGTTTTGCTGTCTGGTAACATGTGGACCTAGAAATTGAGGATTTTTCTAATAGTCATAAACCATGGATGACATGAATAACATGTCATAAATCATGGATGACATGATGACATGAATAACTAGAAGGGTGCTACTATTAGGGAGAAGTGATTAAATCTTTCCATCATTCTTTGCCTGTAACAGGGCATGTAATAGGATGTTGTTATCCCCGACCTAATCCTCCCCCTTGCTGCTCTTTATCAGCCACTTATTGCTACTTGTTTTGCTAAGTTTAGATGTCAATCAAATAAGAGTATAGAAAATAGAACAGGACTGGGAGGGGCTACATTGTTCTGTGTAGCGATAACCAAACAAGGAAAAATAATTACATACTACAAGGGCGTGTAGAAAGCCTAGGATCTCTAAGTTCTGCAGCTGGAAGATGTGAAGCTTAGATTCTGCTGCTATGCCTGCAAATGTGCATACATGCACTATTTTTAACTTGCAATTAAAGAGTGTTTACGTTAAAAAGGAATACGTTTAGTTTTGCTTTAAATATACTGTTACCGTAGTACCAATGAAATTCAAATATATTATCGTTTTCAATATGTTGCCATATTTGCCGATAAATAACAGAAAATGAACCCGGTATATCTCAACAGACATATACAGTTCATATATTATTTCATACTTCTTGTTCTTGTCTTATAACATTTTCATAAGCATACAGGATAGAAATTGAGTTCAAAAAGGTTTAATGTATATTTTTATATACAAAATGTGCACAGATAAGCATGCACATGTCTCAGTGTATGTAAATCCAATCAGTAAAATCTAATATAAGCTTTCGAAATAGATAAGCACGTACAAAACACAGTGCATATATGGGAATTTAAAGTGAATATAAGCCCAATCTCTAAAATCTGATATAGGCTTTAACATGGTAATGTAATTTCTAAAGTATTTATATTTTTAAATTAGCACCTTTAAAAAAAAATAACAACTGGTTATCCTTCCATGAAGGTCCTTTTTCAGCCACTTCTTGTTATATCATTCAAACATGTGAAGCGGTGCTATCACCCAACAAGCAAACAAATATGTGCAAAAAACAAATATTGTAGATAACAATACTATTGTGTAGAAAATAAAAAAATATGTATATATAATATTTTTCAAATATTTTCCAAATGAAATCTTATAGTCAAGTGTTTGTGTAAATCACAAAGTGATAATCTAAAAAACTCCAAATGACTAATAAAGTAGCAAACGTCCTGTGTCAGTGTGTAAAGCACATCATTGAAACAAAGTGTCCATAAATTAATTTAATGCAGGCAGCTCTCAAAAAAAAAAAGTGTTGTCTTAGTACACTGACACAGGACGTTTGCTACTTTATTAGTCATTTGGTGTTTTTTAGATTATCACCTTGTGATTTACACAAACAGTTGACTAGAAGATTTAATTTGGAAAATATTTAAAAAATATTGTATATACATATTTTTTTTCTTTTCTAAACAACAGTATTGTTCACTATAATATTTGGATTTTGCACATATTTGTTTGCTTGTTGGGTGATAGCGCCACTTCACATGTTTGAATGATATTAATGCAGGCTCATGCAGCCAATTTAAGTGAGCAGCTGTAAGGAGAAACACCCAGTTTTCTTAGATTAATCGAGCGCAGAAGTCCCTGTAGATAAAGTCCAAATCCCATTCGCACTGCCACGGTCTCAAAATCCACAAGTTATATGTGGTGCCCGGGTGACCACATGGATGGCGCAGTGCAAAACACTGATAGTGAATAAAAGTAATTCACCGGCACACACTTGAAGGGTTTTTAAATTATTGATATGTTTATTCAATACCCAATGTCACATACTGTCATACGGTGCTAAGCACCGTATGACAAGCACAGTATTACAGTATGTGACATTGGGTATTGAATAAACATATCAATAATTTAAAAACCCTTCAAGTGTGTGCCGGTGAATTACTTTTATTTACTATTAGTACCTGTAGATAATTCACTTCTTGTTATAGGTGACAATGCTGTGCTCCTGTCTCTCAATAGTGCCACTAAATTTTGATGTAGACTACAAATGGCAGTTCCAATACACATGTAGAGGAAAGTTCCAAAGTTGTCAGCATACTATTTAAGCAATGTGAATGGCAGAACTCTTGTTATACTACAAAGCATGGACAAAACAGGAACAAGCGCACTACCCAGAGGTACAAATTTGGCTGGAGAGAATGTATAGAACAGGGATGTGGCAACAGTGTGCAAGCTCTTAAAAACAGGGAGAGGGACCCTGTGGTAGCAAAGAGTGACGGTGTGTGTGTTAAGAGCGCTACTACCGTTTGAATGTGT